TCCTGGAGCTCACTTGGTAGCCCAGGCTGGCCTCGAACTCACAGAGATCCGCCTGGCTCTGCCTCCCGAGTGCTGGGATTAAAGGCGTGCGCCATCACCGCCCGGCTTGTAGCCGTTTCTTAAATATCTAAACCATAAAGCAACAGACTTGATCAAGAACTCCGCTTCCCCGGAAGTAAAAGCGTATGACCCGGGTCAAAACCGGAAGCACTTCCGGTTCCGTACAGCTGCAAACAACATGGCGAAAGCCGGGGAGAAGAGTGGCGGTGGCGGGAAGCGAGGTTTGAAGAGGAAAGCCGCCGCCGAAGAGCCTCAAGAGGCTGCGGTCGCGGGCGATGGGGCGGCGGAGAGCGGGGTGCAGCCCCCGAAAGCGGGTGCCTTCCCCCCGGGCTTCAGTATCTCGGAGATTAAGAACAAACAGCGGCGACACTTGATGTTCACGCGGTGGAAGCAGCAGCAGCGGAAGGTCGGCGCGCGGGGCGGGGTGGGGTGGAGGGGTCGCACGGGCACGCGCGGGGCGTGGGGTAGGGGGTCGCACGGGTCGCACGGGCGGGCGCGGGGGTTGCGGGTCCCGCTCTCTAGCGTCAGCCTTTCCCGGGATGATCCTGGCTGGGCGATCTGGTCTCCTCTGCTCCTTGGGACGCACTCCGGGAAGCCGAGGGTCCCAGAGAAGATGACCCCCCGGCCTCAGAAGGCGGAGGGCTCCGCACCTCGGCTTGGCCCGGCCAGCCACAGCGCTGGTTAATTTCTCGGTGTAAATTCCAAATCTCAAACTCTGCTGCCCTGATTGCTTCGGGAGCTCTTCCTGAAGTTAGTACTGTGAAGTGTCTGTAACAACTGCGTTTGCTCGCTACCGCCTGTACTCGCCCTGTTCTGAGAGTAAACATAAGCCAAAACAGAGACTTGCAGGGCTTGCCAAGATCATAAAGCTTATTTGTGTCTGAATTGCAGTTTGGAAAACAAAATTCCTTATAACTGCATACATAAAACATGATCTTTTAATTTTCATTTGCTTGTCTCATTTGTTTGAATCTTTTTGTAAGTGCTACTGGAGTTAGTACAATGGTTGTGTCACCTATTTTGATTTGCAAGTATGAGGGAGGAATGTTCTAGAAGACTTCTTTGGACTGTGTGGATGTGGAGGCACTACAAAATTATATGTATACTTTCCTATAGTGTGTCAAACATTTTATGTAGAAGTCAGGAGATTCTGGTGTATAGCAAAAAGTTCCTATTGATCTTAAACGCTTATTTTGCTTATAAAATAGAAGAATAATCAGTGGAAACATCCTAAAAACACATCTCTCATTTCTCTTTATTTTTAGTGCTTTCCAGAAGTAATTGTCATAACCATGATCTTTAGGGTGTAAGCACCATGGGGAAAAAATACTTGTTATATGTTTGATTTAATTAGAAGCTTTATAGTAAAAAAAATTAAAGCTACTGGAAGTGTAAATGTTCAGACTTAAGTCAATTTGACAAAGCAAACTCTTTGTTAAATAAATCCTATTGATTAGGCTGCCCATTTGTGGTTCAGTAATTTAACTATTAAAGGAAAGTCTGTGTCTGGTGGGAGATGGTAGTATACACCTGATATCCAAACACAAAGGAAGCAGAGGCAAGAGGGTTATTAGAAGCAAGCCTGGGCTACTTAAGCAGACCTCTAAAAAGTTTTGTGTGCTTACTTTAAAAGATGATAATAATTCTTAGACTGTTCTAGAACTAATTTGTGGTTTCAGTATAAGTTTGTAAAGTAATTTCAATATTGTTTGTTTTTATCCCATTAGGAAAAGTTGGCAGCTAAGAAAAAACTTAAAAAAGAGAGAGAGGCTCTTGGTGATAAGGTAAATAAGGTTTTTAGCCATGTAATTTGTCTTATATTAAGTAGAATTTCCTGATACTATGTTGCTTGCTTTCTTCTAAAACATTTCAGAGGTTTGAAAATAACTTAACAAATACCTTTCTACTCTTTACTCAGCTTAGCAAATAGTGGTGAAAGCTCATTGCCTGTTCTAAAACTGTGACATGGTTTCAACTTGTGACTGTACCTTCCTTAGTGTGTTGTGCACAGACAGTGAGCACAGGGATGCTGTTCAGGAAGCAGAGAAGGTCTCTGTGGCTCCGGGACCGGGGGACTCCGCTCTCTGGGCCTGAGGGTTTAGCTCTTGTGACTTCAAGCTAAAAGAATACTAAATACTCGTGCATTGTTGCACAACTAAACTCTTCATTTTTAAAGTTTTTTACACATGTGCCTGATTTATAATTTATACTTCTAAAATTTTTAAAGCATGTGGTTCTCCCCACTTTTATCTCATATAAGTACCAAGTAAGAATAAGGATTCCTGAGGAAGGCAAAAACATTCAGACTGTACACAAACTAAGCATTCTACTTTTTCATGCATTGTCCAAATGATATTAGTTTAAATCATATAAAATCATCAATATTAGGCTATTTTGACCTTCAAAGTTCTAATAAATCATGTTAATATTAGTATTTCCAAAATTCCCGTAATCAGCTAATTGCAGCAAATTGGTGTGCTAATCAACTTTTAACATTATCACTGGCCCTGGATTGGGGATGTAGCTTAATAGGCTTTCAACTTGAAACACCCTGCCTAAAAACACAACAAAAATCAGTTTTTGTACTGAAAGATGACTTCCTAGAATTATATTCAAAGATTAATATGGGCCAGCAAGATAGTTTAGTAAGGTAAAGGTGCTTGCTGCCAAGCATGGTAAACTGAATTTAATCCCCAGAACCCATGAGGTGGAAAGAGATAATCACTCCCACAAATTTCACACCTTAAACAAATATACCCACCCAACATCATGAATCATTTATCAATTCATGTTTCCTTCATATCTCTACATAATATCCATGTATTTTGAAGTAGTTTTAGTATATTCTTGTAATTCTGTTCTCCTTGGCAGTTTGTTGATGCCATTTCTTGAGCTAAGCTGATAATTCTGCAGTATCTGCTCATGTGAGATGCACTGGGTTAGCAATTACCCTGCAGTATTGGACATTTGTTATATTGATGTTTATTTCCATTACGAATGACCACCCCCTACAGACCTTTTATTTCTTATCATAAATTCCCCCAAACAGAATTACTAGGTCATTGGATAGACATACCACATTTTTTAGTAGATTTCGGGGAGTATATAGAAACAGTCACCTGGATTTGTACCTTTGTGGGTTTTTTTTTTCCATTTTGTTAATTTCCTTTTTACTGTTAGATATTTTTCTTAGAGATGGATAATTTTTGTGATTTCTGCTACTTCTGCCTATTTTTTAAGTCCTTGGATGCATATTTACCATGTATATGTCTCTTCGGATTGTTAAACGCTAACATTACTCCATTTTTGTTTCAAGAATTTATGTGACAGTAGTTGTGGTTTGAAATAAAGAACAGGTTGTTTGAAAGTTATTTGAAGACTGGTTTCTCAACTGTGATGTAAAGTAGTTAATAAAACGCTTCTAAAATGTGGTGCTTTCCATCTTAGGCTCCACCAAAGCCTGTTCCCAAGACCATTGACAATCAACGAGTCCCTGATGAAACCGCAGTAGACCCCAATGATGAAGAGGTAATGTCAGAAATCTGAATGCTCACCCTTGGTGGCTGTAAAGCAGGGTACCCGCTTCTTCCCTACCTCCTTGGCCCTTATCCCTCTCTCTGGTATTTGGCCCTCCCAGAACATTTGGAACGGCGCCACATCATGCCAGCATGGGGACCTACATATGTTGCTTCACTTAGATCTTTCTTAAATACTGAAAATATATTTCAGTAAATGTTGTGATCTTTCCCACACTGGTTTCACGTGTAAGTCTTGTTAGAGCTACTCCTGGTCTGCGGCTTGTCCTTAGGGCACATGCATCTCTGAAACTTGCTTTGTTTGCTGGTTTGTAAAGAGCCAGTTGAGTTTTTGGGTAGTGGTCCTCTGACCATAGCTTACCTAAACTGACTCTAATAATTATCTAAATACTGGCTTCATTTTAAATTTTAGATAATTGTTTCTCCAGTGATAGGTGTATTTCTTGCTTTATTTTTTTCCTACTTCTGTGCTGACTGGAACTTCTGATACAACGTTGAGTAAATAGAAAAGGCCGTGATGGTGTCCTTGCCTTGTCCTGATTTGAAAGAACACTGCCGATGCAGCCTCTTTGATGTGTGTCAAGTACTCCAGCCCAAGAGATTTTCTAATTCTCTTTCTAATTGACCCAGCTCACTGATTATTGTGTATATTAATTTACAAATATTTGAAAATATTGTAGATTTCCTTCTTGTGGGTGACATCTATTAATTCTTTCGCTTGCTTAACACACTTTCTTTCAGTTAAAAGAGAGGTTTTTAAGTCCTGGCATGTGGTCTGTTCTGAGGATGTTGTGTTGCCCTTGAAGAACATGTGTTTCCTATTATTTTGGGAGGGATTGTTGTGTTGCTTGGTCGGCTGCTGCATCTCACATATTCTTTCTGAGTGTTAATTGACTTGTCACTGAGGGCTTGACTTGTGTACTATACCTCTCAGCTGTCTGCTTCTTCTGTTACTTTGACTTTCCGCTTCCAATTTTAGTTCTTTTGTTAACCTCATGCATTCACAATCATATTGCTCTATGAAATTACTTGTGTTTATTATAATTACATTTTCTTGATGTACTCATCCTTGACCCCATAGAAAATATTGCCTTTGCATTGAGCAGAGACACTTCTTAGTGTCTGTTTTGTCTTATGTACATGGAGCCACTTAAACTCTGCCCTAGGGACTCTCTCCACAGTATGCTTTTCCATGTTTTGCTTTGAAGTTATTCATGGACTTGAATTTAATATGTATCACTTATCAAGAGCATATGGTTGGATCTTGCTTTTTGGTCAGCCTGAAAGTTAGCCTTAATATAAGTTATAAGCATAGCTAGACTTTTGCGTCCATCCATCCACTACCCCACCCCCACCTTGTCCTCAGCTCTTCCTTGGCTGTTGTCGTTTGTGGTAGTTTTTCACTGTGCTGCTTTAATTCTTCTTGATTTTTAGGCTGGTATTCTTTTAGTAGTTGCCCTTAGAATTACAGCGTGCCTGGGCTGAGAGCTTAATTCTCAGCACTGGAAGGAAACAAGCAGAAGGCAGCGTGCATCTTTAACCATCCCAGTCTGCTGTGAAGCTGCATGATTCTGCTAAACTGCAGAGAGACGGTGCTGTTAGAGTTGGTTCCCTCCATCCTGGCGTGTCATACACCTGGTGCTGATGGTCATCCACCACATGCTGTCTGTGAACAACCTGGAGTCAGTGACTGCTTGAATGCATCTGGAGCTTTTCAAAGAAAGCAGAGTGTGTCCATGTAGTTCAGTCTTTAAGTACTGCACCTTTATCGATTAGCACCTGTTTCCTAGGTCTGCCTTCCCATCTAGTGTCATTTCTTTTGTCTTCATGGCAGATTTCCTAGCTGCTAATTACCCCCGGGTTGTTTACTGAAGATACGCTTTGCTTTCATTTTCAGTGACAACTGTTCAGAGTGTACGTCTGTTGCTAGAGGGCTTCTCTCCAGATCCCACCAAGCCCCACATTCCCACAATCCACGTATAAAATAATCACTCAGACGCTTATATTGCTTACAAACTGAATGGCCGTGGCAGGCTTCTTGCTAACTGTTCTTATATCTTAAATTAACCCATTTTTATAAATCTATACCTTGCCTCGTGGCTTGCCAGCATCTTTACATGTTGCTTGTCCTGGCGGTGGCTGGCATTGTCTCCCCTCCTCCTTCCTGTTCCCTCAATTCTCCTCTCTCCTTGTCCCGCCTATACTTCCTGCCTGGTCACTGGCCAGTGTTTTATTTATATAGAGTGATATCCACAGCACTTCCCCTTTTCTTCTTTTTTTAAAAAGGAAGATTTTAACTTTAACATAGTAAAATTACATATAACAAAACAATTATCGAGCAAGAATTACAGTTACAATATTAAAGAAGATGTCCTATCTATCTTATATTTGTGAGTTTAAGGTTTTATATCTAACTTATCTTTTATCATAACTGAAGAAATTGCAACTATCTAGTCTTTAACCACATCAAAGACCTCAGAAGGATATAATATTACCTGAGAAATGGGAGAAGGATGTAAGCAACTTTCGGGAGTCTTGCAGGATATAGAGAGAGAGAGCTGACAGCCTGGACAGTCACCTAATGTTCCTTTGTAAAGTTGGGGCATCTGTCTTTAGCTCACAGGCCTAGAGTCTCTCCGTCATTTTTTTCAGTGTCCTGTAGAATGTCTGGCAGTTTTCTCTGTGAAGCAGGAACCTGAAAGACCATCTTGTCAAGCAAAGTTTAGTGGTCATCCTTCCATGGGTCTGCAACACTGGTCTGACCTTTCCCCTACCAATTTTGATTCTTGTTTTCTGCTCCAGGCTACTCCCCCATCCTGGAAGCTGGTCCTGCTGTTTCCTTCCACCAACACGACAAGATGGGTGTAATAGCATTAGTCAGGACTGGGGTTCTTGCCCATATCTGCAACCAGTTTGCAAGAATACCCACATCTTAGTTTGGGCCCTGACAGTATTTTTGGTAGCTACCCAGTTTATACTGTAATTGTGCAGGTGATTCAGCCTCTTCTTGTCACTATTAATGTCCCCTCCTGCACCTGTCAGCTCACAGTCAGTCAAGCAACACTTTAAAATCCAGGCTCAGTGAACTGTTGGGTATAAAATAATCTCTCCTCTGTTCTCAGGTCGCTTATGATGAAGCTACAGATGAATTTGCTTCCTACTTCAACAGACAGACATCTCCAAAGATTCTCATCACGACATCGGATAGACCTCATGGGGTAAACACATTGATTCGTGTAGTCCATGAATTGTTATATTTAAATGGTCCATTCAGAAAAGTGTAATAGTTAACTGCCTTTGAAAATGACAGTGAATAAGCTAAAGGAAAATAACTGATGATATGATGTAGGGTTACTGAGCACAGTTCTTGAGGATAATTTTATGACCTTGACAACTGTTAACATCATGGCTGGGTAACTCCTTGTTATGAAGTGCTGTCCTGCTCATTATGGGATGTTTAGCAACATCCCCAGCTTCTGTCAATTACGGGCCACCAGCAGCCCCACTCCCTGCGCCAGTCCTAGCCACCAAGTGTCTCCAGACACCACCATGTCTCTGTCTCCAGGAAGTAGCACTACTCCTTGGTGAAAACCTGTGCCTTTGATACATGAGACATTGCTCTGCTTTCGTTCTTCCCTGTCTTGCTCACCTCGGGTAATATTACCTTGATTCATCATTATTCCTATCCTTACAAGTATATCCTTATTCCTTCTTACTCTCAGTAATTTTTCTTATTTTCTTACAGAGGACAGTACGACTCTGTGAGCAGCTCTCAACAGTTATACCAGATTCACATGTTTATTACAGAAGAGGACTGGCTCTGAAAAAAATTATTCCACAGTGCATTGCAAGAGATTTCACAGACCTGATAGTTATTAATGAAGATAGGAAAACACCGAGTATCCTTTGGGTTTGTTTTTAAGGAAATTTTCCTGTTCCTTTCCTCGCCTGTTTTTAAACATATTTGAAAGACTAGGAAAGGATTTCTATCACTTTTAGAATGAACGTTTTTCCATAGCATTGCATCTCTATCCAAGATGCTGTAAGACTTTTTTACTCATGAAAACATTTATCAGGCAAGTGTCGCAGCTAAAACACTGCTGTAACCTTAGTAAAGGATATAACAACAGTCAACCTGCCGTAGTACTTCAGGCCAGTACTCCTGCCTACTAACAACACTGTGCAGCGACATGCGGGGAGGAGGGCTTCGTGGGGACGCCTGAGCCGGGCCTGATGAATGAGACAGGAGTCGTCAGTGGGGAAGGAGGCAGCATGAACGCTCCGGCCCAGGAGACACCGTGTCGTTTGGTATAACTTCATCTTAGGGTGTCAGGAAGCACATTGTTCTGAGGAGGGAAGCCGTGCTGTGTGCTCGGTGGCGTCAGGAGACATTGGGAAATTAGATATAAGAGCTGTAGTTTGTACCTACATTACTGTGTCAAACTAGTGTCTTTATTCTGAACACAAGTCAATTGTGACAGACGCTAGAAAATTAGCTACTGCTATTGAAACTGTGATATGTAGTTCTTCTCTTGTCATTAGAAAGTATGGGGGTGATAAAATGACCCAGCTAAATGCTATATGGCTTAGTACTTAGAGAACCAAGGGCCAAATCCAGACTTATCTATGTTAGAAACTGAACTTGAAGTAGAGAGCACCAACTGTAACCTTTTAATGATACAGGTGGAAAGTATCAACTAAGAAAAGTAGGATGGGAGTGGTTATAGAAGTGAAAATGTTAAATGAGAGCATTAGGTAGATGAATGGCAAGTTGAAGTCAGTATTGTTTTATAAATCTCAGATTGTATGCACAGATGGGAAATGAAACCATTTAGGGATTAGGGATGGTCTTAATTTTCTGCTACTGTGACAAGCTGCCATGACCAAAGCAATTTATAAAAGAAAGCATTTAATTAGAGGACAGCTTACAGTTGCAGAGAGTGGGTCCATGACCATCATGGCAGGGAATATGGCAGCAGGCGGGCAGGCCCATGGCACTGGAGCATTCGCTTACATCTTATCTGCAAGTTGGAGAGGGAGGAGGAGAGAGGCAGAGAGACTGGGCCTGGTGAGGCTTTTTAAAATCTTAAAGCCCTCCCCAGTGACACACCTTTAAGGCCACACCTCTAACCCCTTCTTAAACAGTCCACCAACTGTGAACCAAACATTCAAATATATGAGCCTATGGGGGTCATCCTCATTCAAAACACCACGTTTTTAAAGACTTATTTATTATATATACATGTATATCTGCATGCCAGAAGAGGGCACCAAATCTCATCACAGATGGTTTTGAGCCACCATGTGGTTGCTGGGAACTGAACTCAGGACCTCTGGAAGAATAGCCAGTGCTCTTAACCACTGAGTCATCTCTCCAGCCCAGTTGATGCTTTTTTTTAAAAATTGGGTGTAATATAGCTTCTCCTGGCTGCTTTTAGTCCATCAGTTTTCAACTTGTGGGTCACGACCACTTTGAGGGGGTTGAACAACCCTTCCACAGGGGTCACCTAAGACCATCAGGAAACTCGTATTTACATTATGATTCATAACAGTAGCCAAATTACAGTTATGAAGTAGCAACAAAATAATTTTATGGTTGGAGGTCATCACAGCATCAACTGTTTTAAAGGATTGCAGCGTTTGGAAGGTTGAGAACCACTACTCAGTAAAAACAGCTGCCAAAGGGTTCAAAATCCAGGCTTCTGTAAACTATTTTCATCCCTTTAAGTACTTTTTAATTTTGGAATTTGGTCACAGTTGCCCAAACACAGGTCTTGAAATTTCATCCTCTTGCTTAAGTCTCTGGGCAGCTGGGATTGCGGGCCTGGGCCATCGATCCCAGTTTGTATTTTGTCCACCTGCTTAAACTAAAAGCTGCTGCTAACTGGAAGCCCGTGGTCAGCCACTGCTCTGTTTTGCCTGCATGGGCTGTCACTGGGCACCAGCCCTAACTTACTCTGGTGCCACAAACCCTTGAGTGCTGGTCTGTCTCTTGTAGCTGAGACTCCGGTGCTTTTGGCTGCTCTACTTGCTGGTAGGCAGGTCTCTTATATTTAATCTGTAGTTTATAGTGTCTAGCATCATTCCGCTCATGCTAGATTATAATGGATTATAAAGGTTGATTTAAGTTCTCATTAATCCGAAGAGCTTCTCTCTTCTTAAATAGCAGCTTTGACTTCACTGTAACAGGAATTTGCGATCCTGTGATCCTCTTATGTCCTAATCTTACAAACAGGACACACAAGTGGAGGTGAACTTGCATACTAGTAGCATTGAATCCCATCGTTTTTCCTTCTTGAGTAGTGGCCATTGGATAAACATTTGTTGTTGTGTATGTTCACTTTGAAAGCCCAGGATACCCTATTGTGAATGATGCTATTTAAGTGTAAAAACAAAAAAGTAAGACTACTGTAGATTAATACATATTTTTTTGTAAGATTTGATGTGGTTTGACTTTGGTTTGGTAGGAAAAGTTCAGCTAACCCAGAAGAACAAATACATCCATCCACTAATTTCTAGGTGCCCTCAAGCATACAGAAGACAACTTACTTATGCAATTTAGGGCTTAAACTATAATTTGGTATGCTTCTTAACCTTTGTGAACAGATGGCCTTATTTTGAGTCATTTGCCAAATGGCCCAACTGCTCACTTTAAAATGAGTAGTGTTCGTCTTCGTAAAGAAATTAAGGTGAGTCTTGTGTACTCTTTGATCAATACTGATCTCAGGTTATCAGTAGATGCTTAAGGATCTAATTGATTTTAATTATTTGATCTTCTTATGACAGCAAGTTGTCTACTGAGATATGTTGCAAGACCATAAACAATTTTGATAATAGCAGTAGTCCATGTTGCCATGAATGTTTTTATAGTAGTTTACTTTGGGATGTGTTCAATACATATTAACATATTAAATATATCTTTGTGGGTTTGATAGGCCATCTCTTACATATTTGTCATTTAAAAATTTTTTTAAAGTCAGGATTGGTGGCTCCTGCAGTAATCCCAGAACATGGTGCCTGAGGCAGAAGGAGCAGTTTTAGGGTAAAGCTGAGCTAAGACGTGCCAGACCAGTCCAAGCTAGAGTGAGACCCTGTGTAAAAGCAAAATATTATAATGTATGAATTTTCTAATTCTCTTTACTGGGTATTACATTTTTTAATTTTTCCAGAGACGAGGCAAAGATCCCACAGAACATGTTCCTGAGATAATTCTGAATAACTTCACAACACGGCTTGGTCATTCCATTGGACGCATGTTTGCGGCTCTCTTTCCTCATAATCCTCAATTTATTGGAAGGCAGGTTGCCACATTCCACAATCAGCGGGATTACATCTTCTTCAGGTTTCACAGGTAAGGGCAGACGTTAACTTGGACTTTTTTGTCACTATAAATCTGTGTTCTGATATAATAAGTCCTTTAAGCTTTGCCATAGAAAATTAGTTTGAATGAAACTAATTGTTGTTTAACTTTTGTCTCTGAAGATATATATTCAAGAGTGAAAAGAAAGTGGGAATTCAGGAACTTGGACCACGTTTTACCTTAAAATTACGATCTCTTCAGAAGGGAACCTTTGATTCTAAATATGGAGAATATGAATGGGTCCATAAGGTATGTGGTGATTGCTTCAAAGCCCATTTTAACTATATTATTTACATGTTAAGGTGTGTGAGAGAATCTTCTCCCATGAACTAGAAAGAAGCAATCTGATGTGGTCTCTTGGGCTGCTATTAACCTGGATTTCCTTGAAGTGGCCCAAAGCACAGTGGTCTTTAAATGAGACCCAACACTGACGTAGGTTGGGCAAGTCTCAGGCCAGCTGCCCAGCAGTGTCTGAAGCCTGGTGACTCTGCTGCACTGTTTGAGAACCAGCGCTGTTGGACATTTGGAAAGCATCTTAAGACAAATGAGAATATCTGTAAAGCGTCCTTTTCTGCCTAGTTAGCAGCAGTACTATTTCTCTATTTCTGCACTACACACAGGCTGAGAACAGAAATTCCCAACAGTTAAATTAGCCCTGAAGACTGACTGTCGGGGCTCAGACATACCCAGAGTGTTGGCACTATTACTCATAAAGATCTATGAAAGCCAGCCTTTACTATCCCACCTAAGTTTTTCATTGTCTTTCTCCCCTTTAATTTTCAGCCACGGGAAATGGATACAAGTAGAAGAAAATTCCATTTATAAAGTACTGAGGGAGTAGTATTGAATTTTGCTGGACAGGCTTGTCTTGAAAAACATGGTAAATTATTTAACAAAGCACCCTTTTCAAAATGGAGTTGATTTTTGTAAATCTTATATTTGAACAAATGACCAAGTGCCATGAATTTCTACTGTGTTATTGTAAATATAAATAAATATAATTTTGGTGAGGTCTAAAAGTCCTAAACCTTGCTGTCATTTTGCATTAATTGTGAATTTTGTTGGAATGAAGATTCAAACTTTCTAATTTGTACTCCCACAGAACTTGTAGGCTAGGAAAAGTGTAGCCCTGATTTAATACACCAGTCTCAAGAGGCCAGATTGATTACCAGGACTTGGCACAAAGTTACAGGTCACTGGAGTTAACCTTTCAATTCCTGTTTTCTTGCTCATTTTTACCTAATTACCTTCTCCTGTCCTACTTCATTCAGGTATTGTCTTGAGTTCTCAAGTCCTGTCCCATTTCCCTCCGCTCGCCCATACCACACACACATAGTGTTTCTCTGTGTAGCTCTGGCTGTCCTGGAACTCCTTCTGTAGACCAGGAAGCCTCGAACTCAGAGATCTGCCTGCCTCTGTCTCCCAAGTGCTGAGATTAAAGGCATGTTACACCATCATCCAGCTCAAGTTCTTGATTCTTCTAAGAGGACTCTTATTTCCAAAGTGAAGCAACTACCTTCCTGGTATAACTGCTAAATACACTACAAAGCATTTTGTTTTATTTGGAATCTTTTGTTGTCTGTGTGAGCCCAGAGTACAATGTCAAGTGCCTGTCTTCCCTTTCTGCCTCGTTTATTAAACAGTCTTTCTTTAAACCTAGAGCTCACCATTTTAACCCATGCTGGTGGCCAACAAACCCTCTCCTCCCACATGCTAGGGTTCTAAGCATTCACAGCCATGCTCAGCTTTTTGAATAGGTGGCAGGGATCTGAATTCAGATCATAATCACATAGCAAGTACTCTTACCCACTGGGCCACCTCTCCACCCATATTTGGAATATTTAAAGTAATTCCTGTAACTAACTGAAAGAAACTGGAAGTCTCCCACTCTTTGAACAAGATTTCTAATTGTTCTATAAGTTAAGAGGTGGTATTGAAAAGATTAATATACAGTGCATTTCATTAACATTAACAAGGCCAGAAATTTGTATGCTGTTTTATTGTATGCTACAGCCAGTGTATATAAAATAGTTAAACCTTGTGAAACAGAAATCCATGAAAATTCAGAGAGGTAGATGTTAAGATCTGACAAGTAGAAGATTGTATATTATGGCACGCGTTATAGAGAAGCTTTTGTACAGACTCCAAATTTAGTTCTCTTGAATATCCACTGGTTCATGAAAAGTGGTTTGAGAAACCTGATGGGAGAAAAGAAAAAAGATAAAAATGTTTAAAAAAAGTTATCGATACTTTATAACTAATATTTAAGCAAGGACAATTGTTTTTCATTTTTGAAAATGGTTTATGTTATGCCTATTTTTCTGAGTAATAACATACAGATGATCCTTTTCCAGCTCACAGTGGTGTAAAGGGCTACCTGGGCATGTTCGGTAATGCTGTTCTTCTGAGATGCTGTATAGTAGCAGCAGTGAGGTGACATTCCCTAGTCCACTCCAGGACCAAGACTGGTCAACTACCAACCCCTCACTGTGCCGCTAAGTCAGTAGACTTGATAGGTGAGAGTGTGACGTATCTTCAGCTTACTATGGGTTTGCTGGTATACACCCACCATAAGGCAACTGTGGTGATATATTGTGTACCCTAATAAAATTTGCCAGAAGATCAGAACAGAACAAGCCACAGATTAAACATAGAAGCCAGGCAGTAGGGCACACACCTTTAATTATAGCACTCAGGAGGCAGAGATCCATTTGGATCTGAGTTCAAAGCCACCCTGGAATACATGAGATTGACTCAGTCTAGGAGAGAAACAGAGCCAGGCAGTGGTGGCACACACCTTTAATCCCAATACTTGGGGAGTCACACACCTTTAATCCCAGCACTAGGAAAGTTGAGACAGGAAATGATATGGCAGGGCGAAGAAAGGCATGTAAGGCTTGAGGAGACAGGAACTAGAGCCTTTTCGGATGAAGAAGCTCATTCGGCTAGAGGCCTACTGACCAAGGCTTTTTCAGGCTGAGAAGTCCTAGAGGTAAGAGGTGTCTGTGCCTTACTCCGTTATCTCTGATCTTTCAGCATTTACAATATCTGGCACCAGGTTTTTTGTGATAAGACCTTTAGAAATTCGTGTTACAGTTAACCTCTCTATTTCTAGGCGGCTCACTTGAATATCAGTTTATAAAGGGTTTTTTAATTAAATTGAGCCTACAAAAGGCCCTAAAATCCAACTTTCCCCTAGTTTTTACAACAGGCAAAGTACCTATCAACCCGTTTTATGGAGTCTTATAGATGACATCACTAAAATTACTGCTGATACTTTTCATAATAAAAAGGTAAACATAAAAACATTCAGTAAGGAAAATCCAAAGCTCCTTTGAAAAAATGATTTACAATGAAGTCACTTTGTTCACCTACACACAGAAAACATGCAAGAGTCCCGAACATACTGCTGTCAGCAGCATCAACAACCTCACTGCAGCCCATTGGAGGAATGAATAGACAATCTATGTATGTGGCGGCAGAATACTATTTAGCAGCTTAAATGACTGAACAATCCATACAGGATAAACACAGATCTCAAAAATTAAAGCAATAGTTATACACTTAAAAACAGTATTATCTTGATACTATAAAATACAGTTAAGTTCATGTATATAGGGGAAAGAAAAACAGGCATAACAACTTCACAATAAGTTATTACAGAAAGTAGTAAAAGTAAAACCTGTTTTTAAAAATTAAGGTGTAAAAAAAATTAAAAATTTGAGTACTTCATAACAAACACTGAAGAAGTACAGAACCTCTGGGGAAAAACAGAAGAAAACATTTAGCTTCACTTAATAGCAAATTGAGCGTGCACCACACACACACAACCTGAGGTGGAAGGCCAAAGATGGGCAGTGATAATCAAGTATTATTAAAACTTCCACGCCATTGTTTGGTAGTTTTACCACTAACGTACACAGCCAGCCACCAAAAGGTCAGCCTTGGCCATGGCCTCAAACTTGCAAACTGATACTAAAGTAATTGACATGTTACAGCTCAGCTGCTGAAAGCCCTGTGAATATTTACTGACACAGAAATGCTCTTAAGAGGAAACACATTAACAACATCGGTCATTTCCTTTCTGCATCCTCTGTTGCTAAACTACTTAGGCTGGTTTTACTTTTAAAAGCTGAGTATAGATGCCAGTGATTTTCTTTTAGTCCATGTCTTTAATGTCCACTAGACCATCAGCAGAGCTACAGGTTCTGGAGCCTCAAACCTTAGACCCCCTGGGTTATAATATGCACTTCAAGTTTTCCTTTACTGCTGGAATTAACAGGCTTAATTTTACTTTGAAATCTGGGTTCTTATCTCAGTCATTTATAAGTGTAAATCATTCCAACACTGAAGTGTGGACTCTTAAAAACAAAAAGGCTATTAACAGGACTTCAGACATTTTATATTAGATGAAAATAAATCTGTAAAAATGCAAGAACTGAGTCTAAAAAAAAATTTTTAGTAAATCATAAAAATATGAAACTCCTTGAGACCCCCAGTGAATATTGCCAAAAGCTAGAAACTATTAACACTGTTAAATATGAAGATATGAGCTGGACTGTTAACACTATTTCTTCATGGAGAACCTGTTACCTAAAAGCAGCTTTATTCCCCTTCTCCTTGATGTTTCAAAAAGCCTTGTATTCTTAACTAATCATTATATTTACTGGAACAGTACTTACACTTCCTGAACACTCCCAAATCTACAAAGCCTATGTAATAAGGTATTTTAGGAAGCAGCTTCCTGGACTTTGAGTCAGAATGTTAGTATAAGGGTGTGTACTACACACAAAGTACTTTTTAATACACAGTTTAAGTTTGCTTCCCAATTCAATACCATTAACTAATGTACCAAAGATTACAAATGACAGTATCCTTTAATTACATTTTAAATTAGCTGAAGCAGTTTTGGCCACATCTTTGGATCAACAGGTTTTTTCACACATGGTATTTGATCTAGAACATGAATATAAACTCTTGACAGATGTACTAAAGAGCAAGTGATTCATTGTCTTAATCCTCAAATCCAGTTCACTGCCAACAAGTGCAAATCTCTCTCTCTCTTTAACGTTTTCTCAACAAATGGAAATAAAGGTAAAACCTGTTCCTTATTCCAGATGCCTGTGCCGTGTTTGCTTGTTCCCCAACCACCTCGGCTCTCATACAGTTGATTCAGAGCCACCGGAGTACTGACAGAGTCGGTCCTATAAGGACTATAAATTCTGTTAGTTTCAATTTGATAACGTACAAACGCATGCCTGTGATAGTGGAGTTTTGTGACTCTCATACCTTAGAGTTACATAGCACTCTATAGAAACCATTAGTCTTATGATTACTGATCAAGTTTTCACTATACTTCAAAAACAATCAATTTAGAAAACAAAATTATAGGGTTAGATGTTGTCATTACTACAAATAAAAACCTAGAAACCTAGCTGGTTCTTTTATATGGAAAGGGGGTGATATGAAGAAAACTTACCTCAGATACATGACTACAAAAAGGAGCAGACTTTCTGGGGTCTGAAGGGATTTGTACTTGAAGACACTCCAGTTAGCAGAGGGTCATGTTGAGCATTCTGCAGACAAAACTGTTTCAAGTCTGCAGCTGCCTGGGAAACCTATAAATAACAATGAGAGTGGAGAAATGTCCGTTGGTAAGGTTTAATGGTCTTTATACATCTGAAAACACTTAAAATAGAAGGCACTTCAAATAACTGACAGCTGACAGTTCACACTGGCTTATACTTAAAACACATAGGAAAGGAAACTGGTTTTACTATTTTTTTCTACTTACTGCAGGCATCAAGTGATTCAATATGAAATACAATCCCCTTTATCTGTGGAGCACAGCATGTCTTGTTTTTATATGACAGGCTGTTCAACAAGCCCTAACTAACAGCTTGATTTGGGGAGCATAGGATTTGTTTTGTCTCATATAGCCCAGGCTGGCCTCAAAGTTTTTATGTAATAAGCAGCCATGAACATCTGAGCCTCTTGACTCTACCACCTGAGTGCCGGGATTAAAGGCCTGCCCCAGCCAGCCAGGTTTATGCAGTGCTGGGATCCAACTCTGGACTTCCTGTATTCAACTCTGGACTTTCTGTATTCGTAGGCAAACACTCTAACACCTGAGTTACATCGCTAGCCTGTGGCTTGTGTTTTTTTTATTAAAAGTAGTACCTACGTAGTATTAGTAGTTCAACAAAAAGATTAACATAGGGAAACTGTCTTGAAAGCAAACTGGAAATGCCCATGAACCTGAGGTAACAAGCACAGAACTCAGACAACCAAACACTTCATTACAGTCTTCAAATGTATACCCATCCATACACTGTCTTGCATTTAAGTGAGACATGCATTCATTCATCTAAGCACCTACTATTACATATATTCTGGTTAGAAGATCTAGGAATATAAAAAAGAATACTGAAATCCTATTTGGCTTGCACTGTATACATATAATAATACTGCCAAATCACATTTGAGGCAAGTACGGTGTTTTTTAAAGACAGGCTACTCAGAAAGGTTTTTCAACTGGGCCAGAGTTCTACTTCCAGAACCCACATAAAGGAAGAACCAACCAACTCTGTAAGGTTGTTCTCTTAACTACCTCCCTGTATGTACCATGGCACATATGCCCACATACACCATGCATACACAATCCTTTTTAAATTAAAGCTGTTAAACTAAGGTACACTTAGCTTTTCAAGTCACAAGAAACAGGGTGGAAGGTTGTCAGAGCCAGGTTTTAGACCCAAAACAGTTTGAGTTCAAAGCCAGACTGGCTCCTTAGAGAAACCCTATCTCAAACTAGTTGATTGAGTACAAATACCAACACAACAAACTGAATGGTCATGTAGACCACGAATGACTAAAAATGCACCCAAACCATCTAATTCCTTATTTATTCTCAATCTCTGCTCTCTCTAGGGTAACTCGAGGTAGGTGTTGTATCCTTAAGGGTTAATAGCATTATAGATACTTTGTACCAAAAGCCCCTCAGGTAACAGCTATATTGTGACCCCAGGGTCAATCATCCTGAGGTTAAGTTTAAACTCAATTTGAATCTACCTGTGTTTGGCTTATAGAGTAATTCAGGACAGTAAGTCCCATGTTTATTTGTCTCTGAATATACAAGGTTCCTGCAGTTTTTAAATCTTGTACAAACAGCAATACCCTGCTTTGCCCTTTAAAAGTAGCTACTGTATGGAGCGTAAAGTAACAGTTTTCAGTGTTAAACCATTTGGCTTTGTTCACATCCATCAGTAAGCATAAAGTACCTGTTAATTCCTTTCCCACAAATTTTTCAAGTGCCATTTTATGTATGGACTATACTTCCAGGCATTGAGGATAATAAAGAACAATGATATGCTAATGTTATGTGACTAATAGTGCAGTAAAGAAGAGTGATTAAATGACAAGGTAGTCACTCCACGGAAGGTGTCTCTGAGTTGACATTTTAGCTGGCATTTCAATGGTAACAAATCGAGCTCAATAACAAGAGTGAAAAAAACAGCATTCTAAACAGGAACCTTGAGACTAAAATGGAAAAGCTCCTAGTACCCAAAACACAATAACAGTCACCGTCCAGGAAGCTGACACGGTGGAACTATTAGGCCTCCAAATGTCCTGACCTACCTCTGGGAGTTTGGTAAAGCACTTGGAATTACCAACTAAACAAATGCAACACTAAGTTTATGCTGGCTTTAAAATGGCACACATAAAAGAGGTACCTAGCATACACATGGCATGGATGATGTGAAATGGCACCTAACCTAATTTAGGAACCTAGGAAAACTTCTTTAAATTCCTGAGTGAGATGTCCTTTGCCATGAGAACTCCAAAAATGTGTTTCTTTGTGGTGGTTAAAATGATCCCAATCGGAAGACTTCAGAAGAATGAAGATACGCAAGGGAAGATCACACTAGGAAGTAGCCACTGAGCAGCTAGGGTTTTCCAGGAAAAGGAAGTTCTTCTGGTCTGAGAGCTCATTTCTTTGGCCACTAGAGCCAAGTACCACTGCGGTAATTAATTAATTACTGCATTCATCTGCCTTTTTATGTCCTTCCCAACTCACTTTTTTTTCTTCCTGGCCTACCTTATTTACATTTTATGAATGATGATGACCAATAGGTTGCTTCAGCTTTCAGAGCTCTATCTGTCCAAGACCGAGTCAGTTGGAAGAGGTGAAAATCTGATTAGGGAAATGGAGTCCAAACCAAGACCGATGGGCGTCTCCCTATCCTCCTAAGGTTCCCATAAGGAAGTTAGTTATGTGGTCTCTGACATTTCTACTTAGGGAAGCTATATAGAAGTCCTCTCCACAAAGCACGTTGGAAACAAAGACTAGCATACTAAATATAAAATCAAATCACCTTGGAAACTGGCAGCTTCTGGCAGGGTGATTTGTACTCTCGTTTCTTTTTATAATCACGGGAAGTATTTTACATGTTACCCGACCTACTGCATAAGAAAGAAGCCAATCTGCTTAGGATTTTAAAAATAAGCGAACACTCCTCAGAACAGCGTTCGAAAACCTGGCTGTCTATCAACACGGACAGAAGAACTTTCCCCAAAAGTCAACAGCCCCAGACAAGGAAATCCTAACAGACGGCAAAGTAAGACCGACCCAGGCCAGCGCTAAACACTTTCTCGGGCATGTGAACCAGTAAACAGACACCTCGGCAAGGTCAGAAGCGAGCAAACTGTGCCAGGCGGTTCGAAACACGCCTTTGTTCGAGGCTGTCCCGAGCAAGGGTGCTGTCCTTAGACTCCCCGGCCGTTCGGCAAACAAACGAGCCTATCAAGCCGTCGTCTGCAGTTACCCGCGCAGTCTCGGAAGTGTTCGAAGGCCGCGCACTGGGGCTAAGTTGGGTGACGATCCGGGGTGGGAAGTGTGAATCGAAAGTCGGGGCCCGAAAATCGAGACCCGCCGGGGCAGGGGAGAGCGGGCGGAAGGGA